GGCCCCAACGTCCACCTCGCTGCGTGCATTGCCCGCCACATCCGCTATTCTTTCTTCGAGCGGAACCTGCAATCGGAACCTGGATGTAAGTTGACTTTGTCATAGTTGGGTAACATTTTATTTTGTTAAGCGTATTTAAACACAAATAGAACAATATATTCTTAATACGATCCCAACCATGGACTAGTTGAAGCCTAAACCCCTAAGACTCAAGCCGAATGGCAGCTGTTTGGGGTTAGGGTTTCGGGGCTTGGGGTTTAGGAGTTTAGGGTTTCGGGTACCTTCCTGTTTCATGCGCAGGTAGAAGTGCAGAGTTAGGACTTATGCAAGGTCACAATAGAATAGCTGTCCTTGTCATCTCGCCTACAGCCAACTCCAAACCCCAAGCCGCCTTGGAGGTTCGAACTAAGGGACCATGTAGCTCCCAAGAAAGCCCTAAACCCTCACCCTAAACCTGACCACCCTAAGCCCTAAACCCTAAACCCAACACCCAACACCCTAAACCCCTAAACCCTACACCCTAAGCCCCTAAACCTCTACACCCTGAGCCCGAACGCTTTGACCCACCATGCCAAGGAGACTTCAGTGCACATCCTCCACGCCGCCTGTGCTTGCGGGGTGGCTGCGACTTTCTCCTCGCCGCTGCGGCCGCAACTTACAGGGACGAACTGTAAAACCCTTAAAACCCTGTAAAGTTTAGGGTTTAGGGGTGTTTAGGACTGTAAACCCTTAAAACCCTGTAAAGCTTAGGGTTTCGGGGTGTTTAGGCCTTTCAAAGTGGCCGTGTTAAAGTGCACTGCTCCTTGCCCTCCGTAGAGGAGGCAAAGGTCACATGCCTCCCTCCACACCGTTAGCGGAACTGGGGGCAGCTGCCAGCACGTTCCTTATCCTTGTGCATGGTGTTGGGGCCGATTGCGTTTGCATCGCTGAGTGGGGAGGCCTTTCGTCCGTAGTTCGTGCGTCCCATGTGTTGCTTCGTTGTTGCATGCTGTTGTTATGGAGAGTGACTGTGGTAGCTTAAACCCTAAACCTAGGGTCCTTAACCCTGAACCCTCAAGAGTGGCAAAGCCCAGGCGCCCAATGTTGAGGCCTTCATATACCAGCCCTAAACCTAATTAACCCTTAAACCCTAAACCATAAACCACTTAGGCCGCTCGGTGGCGTACTCCTGTCGCTGGAGTTGATGCTGCCACAGATCTACACGTTTCAGGTGCCTTCTTCAGGTTGTTGGGGTTGTGTAGTAGGGTTTAGGGTTTAGGGTTTAGGGTTTAGGGTTTAGGGTTTAGGGCTTGAGGGTCTAGGCCCTTCCTGAGATCGCCTCCCCGAAGCCCTCAACCCGAAACCCCTAAGCTCCGAGCCCGAAGCCCTAGGCTCCAAGCCCGAGGACCCGAATCTCTAACTCCAAACCCCTCTCTCGCCCCAAAGAAATTTTGGGGGTTTAGGGTTTTGGGTTTAGGGTTTAGGGTTTAGCCCTATACCCCAGACCCCATACCCTAAACCCCCTAAACCCTAAGCCCTAACCCCCAGACGATGCAGGTCTACTGGGGATGCTTTGTGGCCGCCTTCTGCGGCGCCGTGTCCACGTGACCTCGGCGACAGGGTCTAGGTTTAGTTTTTAGGGTTTAGGGTGTAGGGTTTAGGGTTTAGGGTTTAGGGTTAGGGTTTAGGGTTTAGGGTTTGGGTTTAGGGTTTGGGGTTTAGGGTTTTGTGTTCTGGGTTTAGGGTTTAGGGTTTAGGGTTTAGGGATACTAGCATGCGATTTCCTTCGGGTTGAGGGGCTCTTAGGACTCTTAGGGTTTCGGGTTAAGGGTTTGGGGCTTCGGATCTGGGGTTTAGGGCCAGTAGCCCTAAACCCTAAACCCGAAACCCTAAACCCTAAACCCTAAACCCTAAACCCTAAACCCTAAATCCTAGACCCTAAAACCCTAAACCCTAAACCCTAAACCCTAAACCCTAAACCCTAAACCCTAAAGCCAAAAGCCTAAACCCTAAACCCTAAACCCTAAACCCTAAACCCTAAACCCTAAACCCTAAACCCTAAACCCTAAACCCTAAACCCTAAACCCTAAACCCTAAACCCACAAGGTACCTGCTGAAGTCTTGGGCCTTTGGGCCCGACTACGCCCAGCTCTTAGACTCGGACGTGTCGCCGGACGAGGGCATGGTCAGGAGCTAGGGTTTAGGGTTTAGGGTTTAGGGTTTAGGGTTTAGGGTTTAGGGTTTAGGGTTTAGGGTTTAGGGTTTAGGGTTTAGGGTTTAGGGTTTAGGGATACTAGCCCTAAACCCTGTGGCCTTTGGTGAGGAGCTCGTGAACGGGAGTTTGGACATTTGGGGAGTTTGGGGAGTTTGTAGGTTTAGGACGTTTAGGGGGTTTAGGGTAGGTTTAGGGAGCTTGGGAGGTTTGGGGAGTTTACGGTCGGTTTAGGATGTTTAGGGAGGTTAGGGTATAGGTTAGGGGGTTTTAGGGAGTTCAGGGAGCTTGGGGAGTTTGTGTAGGGTTTCGGACGTTTAGGGAGTTTGGGAAGGGTTTAGGGAATTTAGGGAGTTTAGGGTTTGGGGCTTAGGGCTTAGGGCCTAGGGCTTGGGGCTTATGGATTAGGGCTTCGGGCCTAGGGCTTGGGGCTTAGGGATCAGGGCTCAGGGCTTAGGGCCTAGGGCCTAGGGCCTAGGGCTGAGGGATGAGGGATGGGGGAGGAGCTCGGTCGTTGGGCTTCTTGTTTGGCTTTTCGGGATGCTTGAAGGGCTGATTGGGTTGGGGCGGTTTCGAGTTTAGAGCTTCGGGTTTCGGGTTTGGGGTTTTGGGGTTTTCTTTTTTGCAGGGGGGGGGGGGGGGGTGGGTTTCGGGCGGCATTTCGTCTTTTGTTGGGAGGTCTTTTTGGGGCTTTGTCGTTTGCTCTGTCGGGCTTTCCACCCTAAACCCGAAGCCCCTAAGCCCAAACTCTAAACTCTACAACACCAGGACCCTGGATTGGTCTTTGGAGTTTGGCTTTTTGGCTGTGGCCTTTGCCAGGTTTTTTTATAGGCGAAGCCCCAAACCCTGAATCTCAAGTCCGAAACACGGATTAGGGGACTTTAATGGGAACCCCAAACAGGGCACCCCCAAGAATATAGTAGGAGTATAAATAGGAATATACTTGGGTCCGTATATTCCCTTTATATTCCTACTCTATTCCTGAGGTTCCCTGTTTGGGGTTCCCATCAGGATCCTTTTAGCGGATTTCGGGTTCAGGGTTTAGGGCTTAGGGTCTAGGGTTAGGGATACTAGCCCTAAACCCTAAACCCGAGTTTTTTCAAGGTTTTTCAAGGTTTTTCAAGGTTTTTCAAGGTTTTTCAGAGTTTTTCAGTGTTTTTCAAGGTTTTTCAATCTTTTTCAGGTTTTTAATTCAATTCTGATGAAGGGCCGCCCCCGCGACCTTTTCACAGCCTAGTTTTGGTCAAGGGGGGGTCGTATTTTTCAATTTTAAAGGCAAAATAGTCTTCGGAGACCCCCTCCCCTTGAGGGGGAAAGTTTGCCTCCAAAAACACCCCAAATGAGGGTGACCCCAGTGGGGCCGAGTCCCAGTTAAAAATGCGATTTTTCAGTACTGAAATCGACGGTTCTGGGTGGCTCTCGTCTTCTGGATTTTTGACCAAAACCGAGCCTTCACTGACAGGGGCTTCTAAACCGTAGGGTTTAGGGCCCTAAGAGCATAAAGGGCCTATTGTGGGCCTTAGATTAGATTTCGGGTTTTGGATGGGATCCAAAGGGTGGGTGGGTATATCTTCGATACCAGAGTAGCGAGCTTGACTAGTGAATGCTTGAACTGGAGATGCTGAACCCTAAACCCTAAACCCTAAACCCTAAACCCTAAACCCGAAACCCGAAACCCGAAACCCGAAACCCTAAACCCTAAACCCTAAACCCTAAACCCTAAACCCTAAACCCCTAAACCCCTAAACCCCTAAACCCCTAAACCCCTAAACCCTAAACCCTAAGAGTCAAGTAGGAACTACCCCCTGCACTGCGCCCTCTTCTGCCTCGTCATCGGGGCGGTGTTCGGGCTTCTGGGCGGCCTCTTCAACTTGCTGCACGACCCTCTGGGCTTCTTAAGGGTTTAGGGTTTAGGGTTTAGGGTTTGAGGGTTTAGGGTTAAGGGTTTAGGGTTTCGGGTTCAGGGTTTAGGGTTTCGGGTTTAGGGTTTAGGCTTCGAAGGGTTTAGGGTGGAGGCATTCAGGGTTTCGGGTTTAGGGATTCAGGGTTTAGGGTCCCCAACCACCCCCCCCCCCGCCCCCGCCCCCCTTTACCCAAAATCAGGCCCAAACAAGATCGGAGTAGGGATTTTGTGTTGGGGCCTTCCCACACAACTTTTGCAGTCCATAGACCCAAATTGCCCCAATATGGCCCCGAAACCCTAAACCCCAAACCCTTCCCCCGCTTCCCCTGCCAACTCAATATGCAGCTTTCCCAATTCGGCTACCCTTTTTGCTGTTTTGGGGCGTTCCCACACGAAGTACGGGAGTAACTTTAAGGGGTCCCTTATAACCCACCGTGCTCACTAGTTCTTAGCAGGGAGTTCTTGATTCAGGTACCTTACTGTATATCCCTCGTATACAGAGACCCCAAGAATCAGGGTTTAGGGTTTAGGGGTTTTAGGGTTTAGGGTTTAGGGTTTAAGGTTTAGGGTTTAGGGTTTCGTGTCTAGACCCACCGAAACAGCCGAAGCCCTAATTCCCTGAGCCCAAAAACACCAACCCTGGACGCCCTTAACCTCAAAGAAAGCAGAAGAATCAGGGCTCCTTAACAACCGTGGAGAGAGAGAGAGAGAGAGAGAGAGAGAGAGAGAGAGAGAGAGAGAGAAAAAAAAGCGAGATAGAGAGAGAGAGAGAGAGAGTGAGCCCGAAACCCCAAAATGTGGAAAGAGCAACCTTAAACCTCAAACCCTGCACCCCTAAACCCTAAACCCCAAACCCTAAACCCTAAACCCTGCACCCTAAACCCCGACATCTTGAGCCAGGACCGAATGGCCCGGGCGTCCTCCAGGTTCTGCCAAGGGCCCGGAGCCATCTGCGGCTTCCGATGGCGCGACCTGGCCATGGTGCCCTCGGCAAGTTGTCGGGGTTTGGGGGGTTGGTTAGGAGGGTCGTTTAGGGTCGTTTAGGGTGGTTTTTAGGGTTGTTTTAGGGTTGTCTAGGGTTGTTTGGGGTTGGTTAGGGTTTAGGGTTTAGGGTTTCGGGTTCAGGCTTTAGGGTTTAGGGTTGAGGCAGTTTATGCAGTTTGGGGGTGGCGAGGCAGTGGTTTTCAGGATCTGCTTTGGGTTGAGTAGGGGGCGGTGGGGGTATAGACCGAGGAGGGCCCTTATGGGCGTCGATTTTGGGAATGTCAAGGTGTAGATTTTCCGCTTTGGTCTTAGGGTCTTGGCTTCCTTTAGTTCACGCAATCAACTTCGAAGCCCCCCCGCCAACCCCCTGCCCCCCCTCCCCTTCCCCGAAGCCTTCTCCGAAAAACTTATACCCCGAGGCCCAAGGTCCCAAACCCCCAAAACCGTGGTGCAATGGAAATCCTGACATATTCCTTCGCATATAGGGACCCGAAAAGGGATCCTAATTTAGAGAACTACCCAAATATCAATGAACCCCCAAACCCTAAACCCACAAGCCTTGTCGAGACAGCTTTGGATGTTGTCTAGGAAGGGCCCTGGCGCATTTTGTATTCCTCCTTCGTTCGATTCAAGAGGATTTCATGTAGGAATATGTTGTGAGATGGCTTTAGAGGCCAGGGGTCTCAAGAATTGCGCTGAACCCTAAACCATACACCCCAAACCCCACGAACAGTGGAGTGGCCAGGTCATGATGGTGGCGGCACTGTAGCCTGACCCAAGCGAGTGTGCAGGGTTTGGCGGTTTAGGGTTCGCTGGGCCGTTTGTGCGTTGGGGTAAATGTTGTGTTGCCCTTCCTTCATTAAACGGGAGCACATTCTTGAATCGTTTTCAGAGGGTTTAAAGGACAACTCAGTTGGTATAGGGAATTGGGTTAGGGTAGGCTTTGGGGTTTTGTGGTAGGGCTTTGGGGTTTTGCAGGTTTAGGGTCTGGGGGGCTGAATGGCTGGTGGCTTTTGTTTGGGAGGTTCTTCAGGCTTGAACCCCTAACCTCCATACCCTACAGCCTACATCTTAGTAGTAGAGTAGGTAACCTTTAACCTTTTTGGGTTACTATATTCCCCTTAGAATCCCAAAGGTTAACCTTTAAAACCCCTAGGTACTGGACAACTAAGACATCCCTGCGGCCTAGAGCTCCTAGAGCCGAACCCCCTGAGCCCCTTGAAACCCGGAAAGCCGCTAAATAACCCTCTGAAAGAACTCGATCCCCCTTTTGAAACCCCAAACCCTAAACCCCCAAACCCCAAACCCTAAACCCCAAGCCCCAAACCCTAAGCCCCAAACCCCAAACCCCAAGCCCTAAGCCCCAAGCCCCAAACCCCAAACCCTAAACCCTACACCCTAAACCCCCAAACCCCAATCCCTAAACCCCAAACCCTAAACCCTATACCCTAAATCCTAAACCCTAGACCAGGAACTCCTCTCTCACCTGGCAACTCGAGCTGCTCCGTGGGCAGCAGCAGCCTCCCCTTCTGAACGCGCTGTTCAGCAAAGGTGCCTGGAAGGGGTTCTTAAGGGGTGGGGTTCAAGGGGGGTCTAGGGTTTAGGGTGCGGAGCTGCAACTGGTATTGTAGAAAGGAGTTAGTGTTGGGGGTTGGAAGGGTCAATGAACCCGGAAATCTTGTATGGCTCAAGATGGCCACGAGCCGTCAGCTTTTGTTGAAAAAGTACGTACGCCTGGGGTTGGGTTTAACGGGTTGGAGTAGTCCCGTCCCTTCTCCCTTATCCTGTCCCCTTAGGGGTGGGTGTTCTTGTTTCTGGTTCGATCTGGGAAATCCATATAGGCGACTGTTGAGGGTTGGTTTCTTTCCCTGTTCCCTTTCGGTTGCCCCCGCAGGTTATGAGCCCAAGTTAGGTTCCCTGCGGTTGAGTGTTGTCTTAAGATCTTTGGGATCAAGAAGCAATGCCTTCTCCCAAGCGATGGCTCCAACCTTCCTCAGATGGTGGACAGAATGGTGGAGCTGGAAATGGTGCAGCTGAGTCTCTGGGTGAAAGGGCGGTGCTGGAAGAGGTGATGCCTGGCGCTGAAGAACATCTGGAAGAAGCCTTGGTTGCAGAAGACCCCAATGTGGGTATGAATCCCAATGTGGATATGGTTAGCAATGCTGAAGCGGAAGGACGTGCTGTCTCTGTATCGCCAAAGCCTGGTGAAAAAAGGAACTGGGACGCGACTGGTGGTATAGATCGTGAAATGGAGGTGACTGTTTTACGCGTGTTGCAAAAACATGGGTATCAGCCGTCGACTTCGACTTCGGGCCGTATGGTAGACCAAGGGTCTCAGACCGATCTGATTGGAGAAGTGCTGCAAGCGGCCAGGAGGCCTCTGAACAAGATTAAAGGGGATCCCTCTTCGAGTTCCCAAGGTGGTGGAAGCGGTTACGAACAGAAGGGTGCGGACAGCTTTGAAGCTGCACCAGCTGCTGAATACGCCATGGGGGAGGAGGAGATCTTACAGATGGAGGCTGAAAGGTTGCGCCAGTTGTCAGAAGAAGAGGATGAGATGCGTCAAGTCTCTGAAAGGGATGGTTTTCGGAAAGATGAGCATCTGATCAAAGCGTGCGATGGGACAACGTGGGAATGGCACCTCCATGAAGATGGGAGACAATATTACTACTGCCTGGATACGCAGGAAAGCAAGTGGACGTTGCCGGTTGTAGGTGAAAAGATGAAGAGTGACGAGGTGGTTGGGTCTCCTTCGGGCAATGAGCTGGAAATGGAGGCTGCACTGGGTTCTTCATCCTCTACTCCGACGCCTGAGTCTACGAGGGCATTCCAGGGTAGTGTAAATAGTGTAGGTGAAAAAGATTTTTCCTCTACTATCAGGGATAGCGGTCTTAGGGCTGGTGGGGACGCCCCGACCTCGGGTCCTCCTGATGAGGAGGGGATTCCTGGAAACCGAGCAGACATCGCTGGAGCTCAACATCTGGATCGGGAAGAAATGGAAGCGCTTTCTGAGGGTGTGGCAGCGGTGGAATCGGTGGGTCCAGAAGAAAAAATGCCCAATGTGGAGATCGGCACTGTGTCGGCTGCAGAAGAGAGAGTGGTGGATGTGGTACCTGTCGTTCAGGAAGGTGGTCCTGGAGATTTGGAAGACGGAGGGAAAAAGTTGTGTGCTACGACTGAGGAGGTCTCTTCGTTTGGTGCCAAGAATCCTGCCGTTCAAAGGAAAAAAGAGGCTTCTGGAATAGCTGGAGACACGGAAGATCTGAAAGATGAGGCCTGGAGCGCCAATGATGCGCGGGTCAATGCGCCAGATAGTACCTGGAGTGCGAAAGAAGCACGGGTTGAGGTGCATATGGTGTCACGTTCCACGGGCGACTGCAACAATGGGGCGCAGGTCTCCGCAGCAGCTGATGATGGAGGTTCACAGGTGGACGCACTGGTGCAACCTGAAGTTAGCTGCGAGGAACGAAATAGCAAGGGCTACACCGGAGCCGATGAGGCAGCTGTGGTCAATGATGGTGGCAATTCTCCTTTGGAAACCATGGAACCAAAGGAGCCTGCGGTGGAAGAAAATGTACCTGCCGTGGATGATCAATTCAATAGCCCTGCAGTGGAAGAAAATTTGCCTGCTGCAGAAGGTGAGACAAAAGACTCCAATGATGGGTCCACTCCCATGAAGGGAGAAGTGTTGCCGTCTGGAAGTTCGCCGGAAGTCGACACCGAGCGAACTGCAGCAGATGAGGCAAGGCCATTGGCTGGAAAAAAGGAAGGTCCTGAGCCCCTGGAGCACAAGATGGATGATCTTGTGGGACTCGTGCAGGAGCCGGACGAGCAGTGTGACCCAAAGGTGAAGACAAAGGATGCGCCAGGAGCCGATGATACAGAGATGGTTTCTGAAGAGCATGCAAAGAAAGTGCCCCGAGCGGGAGCCTTGGAATCACCTGGGGAACATTGCTACCAAGAGGGAGATGAGATCATGGGTCTAGTGCGCTGCATCAATGGGTATGGAGCCTTTTTGGACCATGGTGATGTGAATGTATTGATTCCTGCAGAAGGGAACAGCGCACATCAGTTCAAATTTGGTGATACTGTCAATGGAACAGTGAAGCGAGTGGAAGATGATGGTACCATAATCTTGGACACCTTTCTGGTTTTGGAAGAGGACGAGGAGGACTCTTCTTCGACGCTGCGTAAATGGAAACCCAGCGGCTGGAGTACGTGGTGGACAGATTCATGGTATGCTGGTCAATGGTACCAAGATTCCGGCAGTCAATGGGACTGGAAACGGGAGGAAGAGCAATCCGATGGAAGGGTTGCTGATCAAGAGTTATCCTCAGAAGAACAAGAGGAAAGGCAACTTTATGGAGAAAAGATCTATAAAGCTCTTCTTGAGGATGGAAACGCTGATAAGGCCTATGTTGGCAAAATCACTGGGATGCTGTTGGGTCGCCCAATGGAAGAGCTACAGGAGTGTGTGGCAGATCATGCATTCCTCAATGCGGAAGCTCGGCGCGCGTATGGCATCTTGCAAAGTGATGGTTGGAAGCCTGATGGTACAGAAAGCACAGGCTTGGGAAAGCTAACCACTTTTTCCCGAAAACAGTACCACAACGCGCTTTTCGAACTGGCATGCAGAAAAAGGAGATTTACTCGACCAGTTGTGGGTGAAGCGGTGGCAACGGTGCTGAGTCAAGGGGAAGATGAACTTTGGAACGCGCTTTGGTTGGACACCAAGCGATTTTTGCAGGAGCTTGATGGTGCAGTGGAATCCATGAGCAAAAGGGAGAACAAGCCAATGGAAGCCTACATGGATCCTGACCAGTATAAAAAGGCTTACATGACTCCACAGACTGTGTCACCTGGATACAGCAAGCTGTGCAAGTTCTTCAAGAAGGGAAGGTGTCGCAATGGTGATGGGTGTCCCTATGAGCATCGTCGTTATGGTGAAGGTTGGCCAGAAGGAGGATCAACTGAGCCAAAGAACAGCCAAGAAGCTGGAGATGAGGATGGGAACATCGGTGACCCTCCCACAGAGGAAGGTACAGTGGATGAGGCACAGCAGGAGCGGGAGGATTTAGCCTTCCGGGCCAAGTACAATTTTGGCAAAGGTGCATCAAAGGGTGAACCTACGTCGGGTGAGCCAAAAGGTCGTCTGTGTCTGTATTACAATCAAGGTGGTTGTAAATATGGGACTACATGCAGGTATCTTCACAACGATGACATAGCATTGGAAGGGACTTGGGAGCCCGGCAAATCTTGGGACAATGCTTCCAGGAAGGCACTAAGGGACGCGGGGTTCCATCATTGCTGCTTCGACTACTACCTCAAAGGGAGATGTCGCGTGCGATTTGGCTGCAAGTACTCTCACGAAGAAATGTCTGAAGACCGGCTGGCCCAATTGAAGCATCTGGTGAATGTGGCGAACCATGTGTCATTTCAAAGGGGAAGAGGATTGGAGATTCCCGACAGGAACGCCTTTCAACCACCGGTAAGTGGGGGAGCAGAATCTTCGTCCTCCTCGGCACCAAAAGCGCTGCAAATGACCAATGTGTCGCAAAAAGAAGGTGAAAAGGGTATTCTGGATGAAGCAGAAGCTGATGAACAAAAGAATTCGGTGGCTGAATCCACTGGTACTCGGCTTCAAAATCCAGAGGAGCCAATTGAAAATTGGATGGCTCGCAACGAACACCTTTGGGTGTATACCCCTCATGTAAGTGAGGTGATGATTACACTACGTGTCGGACTTGCAAGAGTTCATCTTTGTGGAAGATTTGGTTGACAAAGGGATCAACAAAGTGACCGCATGCAAAATTCTGCAATTGGTGGGTGGTGTCCGATATCGTCCGGAGGCACCGGAAAAAGCAGTTCCTTCCGATGCATCTGTACGGGTACAACAATCTTCTGGGAGCAAGGGAACTGGAAGAGAGGCGGTGCGAACCCTCACTCAGGTGCGTGAAGCTGAAGGCTCCGGTGCAAAAACCATGCCGAGAGGCTCCTATCGGGAGCTTTTTGATAAGGTCAGGTGCCGTGATGCTTGGACGCTTGCGCAGAGGTCTCCGCTGTGCGTACAGAAGCTGCAGTTGGTGGGAGTTGGAATGCCGCCGGTGAACCCGCCAACAAAAAAGTATCGGTCAAGATCAAACCCTGTGAGAAGGGGAAGGCCCTTGCTGGATAAAAAACAGGTGCGACAGGTGCCACGCTCTCGTTCACAACGACGAGTGCAACCGGCGGAAGTGGTGGAAAAGCCAAAGCCACTGGAACTGAAGCCTCGTGGTGGGTTGTCGTATCGGTTCAGCAGAGCGTGGGCAGATGTGGTGGATGATGATGAACAGGCGGAGGCTTTGGTCTCTTATGCCGCTTCCTCAAGCGATTCAAGCGAGGAGGAGACCAATGCCGCGCAACGCATGAGGGAAATCTTTTTGCAAGAAAGGGATTCACAGAGAACTGCGATTCGTGGCAATGTTCCGCTGGGTGGTTCTTCAGGCCCCAATGACGGGCAGAAAAAATCGGTTCACCTTGGCGAAGGGCGCGACAAAGCGTCGCGGGGGGAG